CCCCAAAACCCCAAAACCCCAAAACCCCATACTTCAAATCCAAGATGAAATAGATCCTTTAAAATTAAATATGTATATTTTAAGAAAACAATCAGATGAATTTAGAATCAAATTATCAATCCAAACAATTACTCCCTTATTCTAGAATAAATTCAATCTCTGCAATTCAAATTTTTAGCTACTTTTCAAATTTTGAAGTGCTGTATAGTGATTTTTCGCACTTAAGCTTGAATCGCAGTGAAATTTATTATTGATTATATAAGAAATATTGCCTTAATATTTATAAATTATTAAAGGAAAGCAATCAATCATTAGCACCTCTAACTTCATAAAATGAATTTTAATTAAAACGACAATAATGGATCTCTTTATCATAATGACTTCTTTAAAAACAGTAATCCATTCGATTCAAAAGAAACGGTTGTTGAAAATGAAATCTAAAACAAAGAATATTTCAATTAGCAGTTGCCATCAACATCAACTAGCACTATGATAAGTTGTCAATATGAAATTTTCAATTTCTCAGTCGATGATTTTCTAACATTTAACTAAATCAATTGCTATAATCATCAGGATTCCCTCTTAAGCCCTACAAACAAAAATTCTTTTTATTCTAATCAAATTTCGCTTTACTCAGAGGATTTAGACTTTAATAAACATTTTGAGGAAACAAAGCAAAAAGAGATATAATCTTAATAAAATTAATATCAAGAATACGAGAGCAACTTTAGAATATAATCCCAACATATCCAAAATGAACAAATTTTATCAGTTTCTTATCAAAGGTCACTTGATTCTTAGTAAGACTATTGCAGTCTAGCTCAGAACCAAGGCGATACTGAGACCGAAGAAAATGATGATAATGATCATTAACCCATTACTTAAAGTAAGGGAAAAAAGAGAGGCCCTCCTTTCAAGGATATTAATATTGAAATTGAAAATATTGATCAGCTACCAGATAAAAAATCACACTGCATTAAAAATGTCAGGTGCATTGCTAGATTCTTCAGGCAACATTTAAGTATTAGAAAAGTCTAGTTGAAAGAAGAATTTGCCAGAAAAATTAGAATTCATTTCAAAAATGAATCCCCAGCATTAATAATAAAAACCATAGAAAATGATCTGAAGTATTGCAAGAGTCCTGTTGAGGAGAATAAAATATTTAATCGACCCTTCAAAAAGGACCGAGTCATTGTAACAAATGACAACATCAGCATTTTAGGAAGACTTTGCTATAGATACAAATTCGCTTCCGAGATAAAGTTCTTCCAGAATCCTATTTATAAATTCTTATTCATAGATAGCATGAAATCCATCAGGAAAGAGTTCAAAGGTCAGGTTGATATTTTGAAAACATTAGAGAGTATAATAAAACTTCACTTTTGAAGACCTTTTCTTATTCATTATTTTAATTTATCCTAATTTAAAAAAGTAATTAATCACTTTGCTTATTGCTCAATTTTTTAAATCAAGGGGTTTTGGGGTTTTGGGGTTTTGGGGTTTTGGGGTTTTGGGGTTTTGGGG